AAAGCATCTGCAGAAAACAAATATGTACCACGAGAAGTGGTATCAAAGTGAGGAACATCGCACTACATCCAGAACAGGTATGCTCTTCACTCAGAAGTACAGAAAATTGAAAAGGATGGAATATAATACAAGTATAATTATCCAGCCCCAACCAAACAGCCAAGGTTCTGCAACTTGGGTTAGATTTAAGGGGTCATGGTACCCATATCCCACGTTGGTGGCCAGGGCAGTTGGACTGCAGATATATATATCTTTGTGATAGGATCCCTACCAGTAACCACAAAATGATGTATTTTGAACCACCAGATTTATGAAAGAAAGAAAGCAACACCAAAGTGGATAATCCTTCTGATCAACCTGAAGAAGTCCAAAAGGCAACATCCCAGGTCTGGATTGATGGGATCATATGCCATACTCTACCAAAGTCCAGAACTCATCCAGTCTGGATTTATAAACAGTTGTCTTTACTCCTCCACCAAGAATTCCTCTTACTCATAGAATTATGGAGAGGATGTGAAACACTATCCCACCAAGGACCAAAGATGGGACTGCATCATGTTCAGATTTACAAGGAGGTAGTGGACCCCCTGCATGAACAACATAAGACCTGACAGTGTTCATAAAAGGGTCCAAGCAATCCCCCCCCCACTGGATAGCTAGGCATCAAATCTGGACTAGGTTGGTCCTGTTCCTACTGACATCTGCCCTCTTTGAGAGTGGAGAAAACTCAACGCTCCAAAGGAAAATCCTCTGTCCACCGCCCCAGCGACTAGGAACTGGATGTGGTAAGGACTCCTGAGCTCTACTAGTAGAAGTAAGGGGGGAGAACATAAGCATTGGGGAGTCCTGAGGAGCAGGTCTCTAATTTTTAAAAGCAAACTGATTTTGACTGATTCAGCTCTAAGATCAGCAGGGACTGGCAAAATCCACTTTAGCTTCACTCATGATAGTCCATGAGTAGCTGTCCATTAAAAATATTGTAATAAGATATCACCCATTGCCCATTGCAACCAGGAACCGATATAAAGGTTGCTAGTGTGGAATTTAAATACAAACATACCTCACTGGGCAACACTCGCTACTGAGTGGGATCCAAAAGAAATCAATAGGGACCCTAGAAGAGAAAAAAATAATAACGGTAGGTCAGATAACATGTTACACACCTCCCTGCCAAAATCTAGTAGAGGTAGTCAACATAGCTACAGGGTAGAAGACGAAATTCCATTGAAGAGGAAACTGCCAGATTGTGAAAATAATGAGATATGAACGTGTCAGGAGAAATCCACATACCGGCCCACATAATATCTTCTAGAGAACAGTTCAAAAGGCAGCCAAAGACATTGATAGGTGTTGAATCTGGTGAGAGGTGACATGGAGCATATTGTGATCGTTAATAGATAAGCCCAAATAGGTAATATGGATCAACTTCCGAAGCCATCTAGTTAAAGTAACAGGTGACAAATCCCTGAACACTGCAGAATCCCAATGAATAAAAAGTCTATACGAGTATTGCATATAGCATCAATTATGAGTACATGAAAAACATGCATTTTTATTCTTATTCAAAATATGATTACTGAATACATGTGAATATTTCATTATATGAATTACTTTTAAAATAAAAGAGTTTTTAATCAAACAGAAACTAGTCATTACAGTGATATCATCAGTAAAGTATGAATATTAGTACTACCAAAGGTTCAAAACTTTGTTCGGTAATGTGTTCCAAACCTTTGATGATCAAAATTTACTGTTCCTTACATCTATAAAAAAAACATTATTAACAAAATCAGCTGTAAGTTGCTGAGATAAATAAAAAAACAACAAAGATCCTAAAACAAACCCTCGATGACAGTGATAACTATTCATAAAAAAAAAAAATATTTTTCCTATACCCTATATCAAGGCTCTTACAACTCTTCTTTAATTTTTCACTGTGTTTGACAGGCTTACAACAGTATCACAGTGGCTCTGTTTAAGCAACAAAACTTTACAGTCAATACACAGTCTCTTTTCCATATTCTTCTTTTTTTACCTTTCTTTCTTTTTTTCTCCTTTTCCCTCAGAATTTTTCTCCTTTTCTATATCCAAACATTCTTTGTGAATTTTTAAAATTTTTCTGTACCATCTGGACACTTATTTGGAAGAATATTTACTCTGCTGAGTGACTCTTTTTACAGTTCATATCCTTTCCAATTGGAAAATACCAATTCATCATCAGTCCTTGCATTTTATCAAATGCAAAATAAATATCCAATTCTTAATTTTGTAAATATCCAGCTTGCAAACCAATATTTTAAGAGCCATTTTGACAAAAGTTTTCTTTTTTAATAGTTAAGATAACAGCTTAATATCCATATAAAAAAAATGGATAGAAGATCTATAAAAAAAAACTTCAATTTTGTATGGCAAAAAAAAAATCTTTTTTAAGGCCATACTAAGAATCATTAATTTAATCAGGTTTTCAAATGCTTTTCCAAAATCATGCTAAGAACAGGAATAAAACTAACCAGACATTTCTTTTGCAAATCAAAATCACATTAATATTCTGGTGCTACTATAGCATGCAGTCTACACAGATACTATCATCATCACCATTGTAACTTTTGTTTATTTGCAATTGGTGGCATTTATTATATATAATGCCTTTAAACTAATAAAGTATAAAAAAAATTACATAATGTTTTGGGGGGCAAATATAATTGGAATGAAATAAATTCCAACAATCAAAACTAGTACAATCACAACCTAAATTTAAGGTACTCTTTTGGAACACACAAGTTATTAAATTATTATTATTATTTGCTGAACAAAAACGTGGATAGATATAAATTATTTATCAAGAAATTATGTTTTAGTGAATCATTAAAAAGGTGATGATGATAGTATCTGTGTAGACCACATGCTATACTGTAAATATCTTTGTAGACCACACGCTATAGTAGCACCAATATTCCTTCATCATCAGACATTTCCCAAACATCTAAAACTTTCAAAGTGACATTTTAAAATTCAGGATGGCCTAGCACTTAGTTATCACCACAATGACAAAAAGGCTCACATATTTTGTAGGAAGACTGGTATAGTGATTTGTTACAGATGGAGTAACAGTGACAAGACTCAACGTGAAGAAAAAACAAAATGAACAGTTCATTAACAGAAGAAAAATTTAGGTTTTATATTGGTTAATCAGCTATAATGAAGAGACTCACTATTATTAAAACTTCAATGAAATAAACTGTTGATAAATCAAACGTAAGTATCAAAGTAAAACAAAATGTACCACAACAGAAATAAAACTGTACTACAGAAGGCAAAATGGGATGATGATAATAAACAGTGAAAACTGTTTGTCTAATTACTGAAAAAAAAAATCACACACACACATGGTCAGCAAGATGACCATCAGAAAACCTGCAGATAAGACTTTAACAGCATAAACATTTTAAGATAGAAATAAATATGTTTCAAAATGCCATAACTGCCCTCATGATCGACATTGTCAAGGTAATTGACAAATCACAAAACTAAATCATAAGTATCTATAGGCATTTCTGTTCCATGTGACAGTTGTATGATCCAATACAATATAATAAAACAGTATATTGCTTCCTTGAACAAAACCTGCTACAAACAGTAACAGCTAGGGTTGAATTAGTGCACAATATCAACTGGATTCAAAATAAAAATACAGAAAAAAATAAAAAATTAATGATACAAGAATAGGACTTTAGAAGAGTGAGATATGATGTATCTATATAAAAATACCAGTCAAATCTCCCTTTAATTCTTTGCTAAGCTTCTTTTTGATAAATTTAGTCAGGGTCAAAACTATTGTATGAAGTTTTGCAGTCTCTTCCAAGAGAGCTTCAATACAGTTCACTCCACAAAGATCTCTTTGAAACTTAACATTCAATAACTCTTAAAAGTAATAATATCATTCTAAAATCTATTTTTATAATTAACATAAGCACAGAAATTCCTCACCTAGATGCCAAGTATGAATTATTGAAGTAGGTGTGGAGACTGTGTTTCAAATTCTTATTAATTTTTTTAATATAAATTTTGCATGTACTACCACAAGTGAATTTCATGTTTGTATCAAGTTAATATAACGTATACATTGTATAATACAAAATATAAAGGCTGTTCAGTCCCTGCACACCAACCTTGTGATAAAAATAAACATTTAAAGCAATCCTTTATTTTTCACTACAGTTTATTTTCGAAAATGGGTGATTGACTTGTAAAATGAGTTATGATTGACATTGTTGGCGGCGGCACTTACAAGTTACAGTTACAATTGAAGCTACAAGAGATTAATAAAAATTATTTCCATTAGGTGATAGGTAGTAACCATTGTCACCTAACTAACATAGTTTCATTTCACTTTTATATTTTTAATGCCCGAATCCCTAGTTTCACTTAATATCACAGCGCTCAGCATCAGACCAGTAATATAATTAGAAATAAAGGCCTTGGTTAGAACTTACCGAAACCGTATCAACATAGCGGTTAACCAGTTTTTCTGTATTTTCTGATGTCATTATGGTAACCTAGCAGTTAAAACGTTTAACGTTTTTTTTTCACTTGAAATACATTTTTGCTTCAAGTTGTTCTTTAATTTTTTCCATATTAAACGTTTAATACTACATTCCTCAATGTTATTCACTTACTATTAATCTATACGTACGAAAGTATAGCAAAACTTTTCAACTGCTGTATGCTATTGCCATCTACTATCGAAGCCTAGATTTATATATTTCATGTTAAATAATTATTTATTTTTCGTAGTCATCATTATATTTATTTACTATTGCATTGTTTATGTATTTATAATATGCTTACACATTTTATTTTGGCAAATTTAATTAATAATTGCAGAAAAAATGTTTATAAAGCATCGTTATATGCAAATACCATTTATTTCACTCTCCTGGCTCAGCAATAAGTCGGAGGGCTTATATGGCTAAATATGGATTTTCGATACATGCAGTGGGCAGAGCACAGATAGTTCATTGTGTAGTTTTGTATCTAACAACAATCAAAAACCTCACTCTCTTGTCCATCAGTGGGTCAGCGGTAAACTTACGGACTTACAAGACTAATATCCGAGGCTCGAAACCCTGTGGTAGAAAAAACACAGATAACTTATTGTGTAGCTTTACACTAAAAACAACAACAAAAAAAACTCACTTTTTCTTGAATATATATGTATATATATCACATTTCCAGTTATTCAATTTATTCTATAGTTCTAATTCGGAATACGATAAATATGAACGAGATAGTGCGGCATGCATATATTTACAGTGTTCAAAACATTGCTGAACATCTTGACCCAAATATGGCCAGAAGAACTTCCATTGAATGTTAGCACAAGTGTGTGTAACACCTTAGTGACCCCCAGCTTTGTGTTATGTAAAATCTAGAGAATCTCGTGCCTCAAAGCTTTGGGGATCATTAGCTGTAACAGAAGCTGAGAACCACTGCTAAGCGGTTGATAACAATTGTAAAGCACACCTTCTTGCACTCGTAATTCTCACACAAGTGTCATAGATTACACTTGTCTATGTTTTTTCAATCTGAGCTGGCCACACTTTACCTGGCTCCATGGCAAGAAGAATTCTTGCTAGATCTGGGTTTTTCAGTTGCACTTCCAAGAGCCCCCGAATTGTTATTTGTCACATCTATCCATTAGTGGAATATACTACTGTATGGCTTATTGTCTCTTTGTCAGAAATGGTTTCAGGTCCTACATGGTCTCTAGTTTCAGGACATGAACAAGGTCTCACTGTTCAGCTATACAATCCATCAATGTTTTTGTGTTGCAGGCCTTATCAACACTGTGTGAGTAAATCATACTCTCTCAGCACTATTATACAATGTGCTATCACCCCTTCTCTTTTTTTAAAGTTCATAAACCATTTCAACAATGCCTGGTCCATTCAAACAAAGAATTATTGATCATACAAGTAGCGTTGATAGTGTTTCACGAAAACTACAACTGCATATAGTTTTTTTTTGTCTTAAATTTGTTGAGGAGCCATTAATCTGGGACTGGCATACACAATTATACTTTCTACTCCATCCTTCAAATGCAATAATAACTGCTCTGATTCCACTATCACTGGTGCTGGTATCCAAAATTAATCCACAGTCCTGCCGTGGATATGCCAACACTAGGGCTTTTATTAGAGTGTGATTCCGAAAATGGGATGATTGCTCATAATGCTCACTCCATCAGTAGTACGTCTTAGTTTCATTGAAAGCCAGTAATGGTGTGGCAATCTTTAAGATGTTGGGAATGAACTGTCAATAGTACAATGTAAAACCTAGAAAACTGCAGACTTCTTACTCGGTCACAGGTTGAGGACAATTTTGCACCATTCCAGTTTGAGTAGGGTGCATGAACATTTCTTATCTACCCATAATATTAATGAGAAAATTCCATTTCCATGAACATGAATATACATTTTCCTGGTTTGAGTTCAAGTCTGCTTTTTAATTCACTGGAATGCCATTTTCAGGTTCTCAGCCACCAACTTGTGAAGGAGGGTATCTTCATGCAGGGTAAGCCCTATCGTGTAAAACGGCACAGATCATCTGTGTAGGTGGCCAATTTCTCTGTTGATAAATATTTTGCACAGTTGATCCTTTGGTGCAACTCAGTAACGACTTCTCACAGTCCCAAAGTTGCATCTTACTCGAGTTCTTGATGAAGTCTAGGGTTGGACCTTTTAGACAAAAGATCATGTGTTGTTCAGCCTGCTCTGTAGACCAACCACTCCAAGCAGTTACCTATATGAAACACTTTATAAAATGGCCAACCTTCTTTTGCTGCACCCTTCAATGCCAGGAGAGTGATCTGTTTTGTCTCACTCATGGGGAACTGTGGTTATGGCCAGATCCTCTCTCTCATGATTTCTTGGCCATAACATGACCAAACGTCCTCAGTGTTGCAGGCACAGCATGATAGGCAGTGTCAGGAACTCCAACTCATATGTGAGTAGCTGGTTCATGCAATGGCGTATTTTTCGTATTACCGCGTTTACCGGCGGTAAGCCAGCCTTGAGAGAATTAAAAAAATAGTGTTTTAGTCAATATAAAAATAGTTGAATCTCATCCATTACTAGCACAAATATATAATTACTGCAGTTTTGAAAAAGCAATGACACAAGATGTTATTTACATGAGATATAGCCATCGTTGACCAGCAATGACTGTGCAAGAACTGATTATGTGTGTGGCCTATTGGTGCGGCAAAAACAGTTCAGCCTATCAGCATGCGTTAAACAACTTGGAAGTATATCGCTCATGATTGCGGTGCAAAGTAGGGTAGTAAAATGCCAGATGGCGCTAATTTAGTATTATTTATGATGCTATACATGTATATAAAATATATATAAGTGCGATAAACCAAAGCCATCGGCCAGGCTACGTCACTGGCTTCACGGTCTAAGGAAACAGAGCAATTAGTTGTTGTTGGCAACACATTCACCTCTTCGTGATCCTAGGCTTTTCTGTGATCCACATTTGCCTCAGTAATACATCTCCCAGCTCACAACTTCCCCACTGTTCATCTATTTCTCCATTTGTTTCAACCAACTAACCTACCAGTGAGATAGCTCCTGTTGGCGGACGTCATCCACCAATGGAACCATTAGTCTCTCCTTGGTATTATCTGAGGGCTTCGACCAGAACTGAGGTTGGTTATCTGTGGATGGTGAAGGACTGCGAGTCCTATATAGAGTGCTCCACTTTGTCTCAGACTCACCAAGAATCACACTGAGGTTGACCTTCAGGGAAGGAGCAGGAACTGCTGCTCTGGGTACACTATACATTGATAGCTCTTTGTCTTGGCCCCTTGATTGCAATGAGATAGAAGCATTTGCAAAATCCATTGACAAGGAAAATATTTCTCCGAGGCTCCACAAACCTCTCATACAACCACAGCAACCTCTCATAGCAACTGATTCTTTCTCCTGGTCATAAGTTATCTAAGTTGTGGAATATACCATTTATGATAAGACAGAGCTTTTTAGAACTTAATAACACAAAAATAGGAGTATAGGGCAATACACATGGCAGCATAAAATAGAAAACTGTTTGGTATATTCAGATCAAACTGATATCTCTTACAGTAATTGGATGAGTCCAAAAATAACAGAAAATTCGACATGAAATTTATTACAAAGTGATACTGTGTTTCTCTGAAAACCTGAGTTTGTGAGGATGAAATAAATAGACAGGACACAATTTAAAATACAAAAAATAATCTTTATTGTTACAGGCATTACAAACACTGTGTGTTTACTTGATTTGAACAATCGACTGTCGCCCCCCCCCCCCCCAGTGGCACAGCAGTATGTCTGCAGACTTACAACGCTAGAATCCGAGTTTCGATACCCGTGGTGGACAGAGTACAGATAGCCCATTGTGTAGCTTTGTGCTTAATTATAAACAAACAACAATCGACTGTCACTTGTACTGGATTGAAATTATTCTCTCTACAAACTCATCAGGCCAAGATCATCTACCAGACTGTTTACAACTAACGTTCCTTACTTCACAGGTAATATTAGATTTACGCAGAGTGATTAGCGATAGTGCTACCAACATGACTTGTAATTCCCATTCAACTATAAGGTATGCTGTAACCTCGAGACAACACCTGACCTGCCATGGAAGGACACTACTGTCTACAGTGTGACTTCAATAGAATTTCAATGAACAAAAGCGACTGAAATGGCATCAACTTAATATCTTTCTTGGACATGTGTTATATGAAACTGCTCATACTAAGAAATTACTTATAATTTTAGAATAACACTATATTAATATAAGAAAGTAGAAAACACATGATATGTTTATATATACCTATATATAATAAATATGTATGGTATCTCCACATATTTCACTCTCTTGTGGTATACATTTCATGTTTACAGATACTTTAGTTTTTTTCTGAAATTCTAACTTGGAATATGCTATTTGTGATCGAAGTTATGCACTAAAGCCACATGCTAGGAGTTACTTTTTAACATATAACATAATGTTTAGCGACAACAAAGAACTTATTGGTCCATCTTGGCTGTCCCATATTCTAAACTAAACTAAAATTTTGAAACAAGTTTATTTAAAAAAATCTTGAACTCAGCCCTTATTATTAATATAGTTATCAAGTCATCTGAAGCTAGCTATGAAGAGCTACCTGAAATAGTCACTCTATCTTCGGTGTATATGCTCCTTTTAAACTATCCAGAGTGTTCCAAAGTCGAAAACCGGCGAATAGCCAAAAACCGAGCTTTCTTATTTTCGTTCATCAGGCCAAGAGCCCATCTAGTTCTAGCAGTAACTATAATTTTATCATCATTTGATAAACAGTCTTCATGATATTTTACTATCTATTTGATTATTATTCTATACAAAATTTATAAAGCTTTAAAATACACTCTATAGCTCACATACGCCATCTTATAAAAAAGTAAACAAAAAGTATAAGGAAAAAAATTATAGCTAAATAAAAAAGCTATGTAGGGCTGGCTATTGAACTTGAAAAAAAAGGTACTCAACAAGATGGGTATGGAAGTGGGCATATCACTTGATGTGCTAATGATTACATAGTAGACTAAGCTGTCTTGACTTTACATAGAGAATAAAATCCCTACATTACTGGCTTTCTCGCTGGCAAAAGAAATAGAACCACAATTTCCAATCGTAAAATGTTACTCTATTGTAAAATAGTCATAAAAGTAGTATTGTAAGGTTATCTAAAAGAAGGGTATAATGATGAAAGCTGAGATTCTATTCAAACACCAGATAAACACGTTAATAATGTGGTGTTTATACCTGATGGAGCAGGTAACAGAAGTGGCATTGTTTTGGGAAATATGTTTTCATGCAAACGTGAATACATTTAAAATTAATCCTTACTATATAGGCGTAGTTTTATATTTATTTACACCTAATAATTTTATAGGATATATACACACGTTTAAAAGATTTTCAGTAACTTTTAAAACCGCCAAAAATTTAAAGAGTATACACGTTTCCTATATTAAAATCATAAACATGGTACACATTCTCAGAATAACAAAACCAACAGTTCGCGTCCCTCCCCCTTCCATGCAATAACTTTTTTAAGAGTCTCATTTTTAACCCTAAGTTAGCGGGTGGATTGCACATCAACCAAGCTTATGTGGATTAACAATCTCGAACATTGCTGTCGGTGCATTTATAAATACCAGTATTACTGTATTATTCCAAGAAAACTGACTAGTTTATCATGGCAATTTAGAAAAAAAATCGTATTTTTTCTCGATTTTTAAACAACAGAATAGATTATATAATAAAACCAAATCGTATAATAACACTTAACGCGTGATGATGTCACAGTTTGTACTCATATGGTAAACCTAACCACTGATGTATTATATCAACATGTTTATACAGCAAATCTGCCTCCGGAGCTCAGCGTTACGTCTGAGCGCTTTTAATGCTATAAATTGGATTTCGATACCCTCGGTGGGCAGAGCACAGATAGCCCATTGTGTCTAATAACAAAGAAATGATACAGTAAATCTACGTGTTGATATATTAACTCTCACGTCGATTTATCATACCTACACGTATATACAGTGTCTACTGTGTTTTTATTGTCCACGTGACCTATCACGAGATATCATGACTCGTAACTGGTTGGCCTGCATTGCAAAACTGTAATATTTTGTATCAACATATGTACGTATATGTATGAGGTTATAATAAATCTATATGAGTAATTACTATACAAACAAACATATCCATATAATGTGTCTAACATATGTGTAAATTTATAAGGTGTCCCAAAAGTCTGGACCCATAGGGAAAAATACACAATTTATTTTTAATTTAAAGTTAAAGTGGTGGTTGGCGCCCTGTTGTCAGTATCAGGTACGGCGCTGTTGTTTATAAATATTGTATACACTGACAAAAATTGTGATTAGGTACAGGTGTAAAACACGAGTTTAACGTGCTTGTTAATAATGAAACCAATATGTGAGTCGAGTTTAACGTGCTTGTTAATAATGAAACCTAAATGTGAGTTGAGTTTAACGTGCTTGTTAAACAAGTATTATGGAAATAAGAACGCTCAAAATGAAATAAATTTTTGAATACAAAGTAAATACTAACTAATACAACTTAACAACAAACGTCTTTTATTCAATGTTCATATATATATATATTTTGAAACAAACTACAAATATAATAAATAACGAGAACTTTATACGGAAATAAATTATCTGAATTTTCTGTTTAACGATTAAAACAACCGAATTAACAAACCGTCTTTTCCTTAAACTACGGTAAGCACAACTAAATATTAACACTGAGACAAATCAGTGAGCATGCACGCAAAAGCTCTGACACTGGTACTATAGAGGAAAACAAATGCTCTGACACAGGTACCATAGAGGAAAACAAAAGCTCTGACACAGGTACTATACAGGAAAACAAAAGTTCTAACTGGTACTATAGAGGAAAACAAAAGCTCTGACACTGGTACTATACAGGAAAACAAAAGCTCTGACACAGGTACTATACAGGAAAACAAAAGCTCTTGGCACTGCATGGTACTATACACAGGGTGTGCAAGAAACATATCTAACACAGGTACTATACATAAAAACAAAAGCTGTTGGCACTGCATGGTACTATACACAGAGTGTGCAAGAAACATATCAAACGCAGGTACTATACAAAAAAATAAAAGCTCCTGGCACTGCATGGTACTATACACAGGATGTGCAAGAAACATATCTAACACAGGTACTAAAAACAAAAACTCTTGGCATTGCACGGTACTACATACAGGGTGTGCAAGAAACATACCTAACACTGATACTACAAGTGGTGTGCAAGAAACATACCTAACAATGTTATTATACAGAAACCAAAAGCTCTTGCCATGATGCATGGTACAATACAGGGCATGCAAGAAACATATCCAACATTAGCACTACTGAAGACTTGGTATACAAAAACTCTGACACTGGTATTAAAGAGGATGTGTGATCTAAAGCTCTGACACTGGCACAACACAGGATTTGCAAAAACTTTGATACTGCACAGAACATGTAAAAAAAAACAAAAAAAACACAGTCAAACTTATAATTTCTAAGAATGATTTAAAGGTAAATGCATCATGGTTAGAGCTGAGCATTAGTGGAATTTGATGATTGATTAATTATCATGCTCATTAATCAATTATTCTTATGAAATGGCTTACAACAAAAAACAAACTTGTAGTGCTAAAAATCAGGTTTTGGTACCTGTGGTGCATAGACAGCACATTGTATGGCTTTGTGGTTAAAAACAAACAAACATAATGGCAATAGTTTGATTCAGTGGACAGTTGGAACAATCACAAATAGTAATAACTGGAAAACCAAATTTGATAAGTTGGTTCTTTTATGTGACATTAGTTGATGTAATCAGTACCATAGGGAATTGATTATATCGGTTAATGAGGTTAATCACCCAGCTATACTCATGGGTGGCTACATTCAATGTTTAATACAGAGAAAAAAATATTCTGTGATCCTATGCTATTATAGCATGTGTTCAAACAAATTATGATAAATACATAAACTCTACTATTTATATGAACTTTTCATATATTTATCTATTCTCATACAACTTCTAATATAAAGTGATTGATGTAAAATTCCTATAAATAACGATTTAGTTAAATATTCTTAAGAAAATACTGAAGTGTTTTATCTCATAATTAGCTTGATCTAACATTCATAGGCAAATATTGGTATTTTCTAGCACTTTTAAAGTTCTCTATTCTACAAGGTCATTATTTTAGATATTAGATACAAGTAATATTAAATCGCAGCAATGATATTAAAGAGAAAACATGATACAGTATATCACTAACTACACAGCAAGGCAACTATAGCCTCAGATAACCCAAACTATCAGTTGCAGTAACAAACGTTGTAAAAGAGATCATTCGCATATTGTATAATTCTGTACTCATCTAACTTTTAAAGAATGATTATCATTATAATCTATTTATATGAAAGATGAGAAATAAAAGATAAAAGATATATTAAGTTACATATGGTACCCTGCTGTTTTTCTAATGTTTGTTTTCCTTTTATACAGCTTAAGTATATGGAGAAACATCAGTACAGTCCTAACTAATTTTTCTCCAAAATAATTATATTTTATATAGTGACTAAAACAGGATATTGCAAAAACAGATTCTTACATTAGAGAAAATATTCTATTCTTGCATAATTATAATACCCACTTCTAACACAAAATAAATAGAAAATCAACACAGCATTACTTCTGTGATATTACAAGCCTCAGCTTGGACATTTTTGTGAGATCTTGCCAAGTTCTTTTTACAATAACGTTTTGATTTTGAAGCCTTGTCTATATACTCTTGAATAAAATAATATGAGATCAAACACAAAACTAAGTATACATTGATATTAAATAACCTTTAAATATCTCAAATTTATCATTTTGAGAAACACAATGAATTCTGGAGTTCATTTATTCACTTAGTTATGTCATTATTGAGTGGATTTTGTCTTTCACAGATTAATTAAAACCACAAGTGAAAAAATTAAGCATAAGCTTATTATTTTATAGAATTTTTTTCTTTCCTGAAACACATATGTGTGACCTACAAAAATAAACATAAACACAACAAAGATCACATCTATTTATGAGATCAAAATTTGTACAAATATCTCAAGCTGTGCAAGAACAGATAAACATAAACTATGTCTCAAAATGTGTTGTTTTTTCTGGAATATATACAATATTCTCTTTCTCAAGCTGGAATTTTGTGTTATTAAATTGACAAACACTGGCAACAAGTAAGCAGAAATTATATTTCCTTTCAAATAATTTGACTCTTTAGACTCTTATGCTACATTTGATTCATATGATTCTCATGCTACATTTAATTCATTTCTCTTATGCTACAACTTGATTCATTTGACTCTTATGCCATTATATATATTTAAATATACATCTAGTTTGGTTTCAAACATGTCCTTCATACATTTTGTTTTTCGTAAGCTAGTCTTTTTTTTGCATTTTCCTCAGTAAGTATATTTATGCAGACATTGTTTTAGAACAGTTACATTACATACTTTCCCACAGCCTATCTTCAACTGATTTTGGCCTGCAGGGTTCACAAATATAAATACAAAATAATTCAATATATTTGTAGTCATTTTAAGTCTGATTTCAGTTTGTTTGAATGTCTGCTTTAACAAGAACATGTACTCTCTGTTCATGTTAAAACCTAAGTAAACTTTAGTTTAGATTACGTAAATATATCCTTGCAAATGCAAACTACACAAGCTTCATTTGTTGGTTAAAACTGTACAGTTTACTTTCCATTTCTAGAATTATGAGTTATTCAGCAATCTGTGATAAAATGGTGCAGGCTAAAGGTTTTTTTTTTCTTTCAAAATTCATCACAATTCTGCTAGAAAGCTGATGTCAAGACTCGTATAGGAGACGCTGGTAGTGAGGAAAAATCTCCCATGTTGGCAAATGCAGTGAAAATTCCATAGCAACCAAAACTCCAAATTCTGTATTTAGAAGGTCTTTACGACAAAGTCGGAATCCACATTCAATTTTCTGGGAAATAAAGATAATAGCTTTGTAATTAAAAACAATATCACATGGAAATCACAGAAATAATGTAATCCAGCATGCAACCAAGAAAAAAACTTTTGATATGCTTAATGTCGATAGTAAATGAAAAACTTTACATTTGAGATGTAAAATGGCCAGAAAACTCAAAACAAAGACTTTAAAACAAAATAAAATTAATAAGTAAAAGTTATAATGAAATAACTCTAAGCATTTTTTTCATACTTGGCTTACCTCTAAAAGTGTCTTGAGCTCGAGGCCTTTGACATCATTAAGTTTAGCTGAGAGAAGCAAGCAAGCGCCAGCACAAAGTTTCCTGTTCTGTTTGTTTATCAACATCTATATTACAGAAAAAATGGAATTATCTTGGCTCATGTTAATATATCATTTTGCCTGACCACCTGATTTTTGTTCTTTATTGCTTTACAGAGTCCTGGACATCGTTAGTATTTTAGCAGGACTAACTATGTGTTATATTATTCTTTTCATATATTTGTTTATTGTAACTTTTAAACTGATTATATATATAAGTATATATAAAATATGTATATTAATAATGTAAAGCAGCATACACAATAATATATGATTTACTTTTCTGTAACTAAGATTAACCTAAACCAAAGAAACTTTAAATATTAAAGAAACCAAAAATAGAGCAAGTAAATATGAAGTTGGAAGTTAAGAAGAGACTGAGTTTGCTTGAAGTGTCTTTTTTTATTATTAAGTTTTTACTGCTAAGGATTTTACTCAATATATAACATATTTAAAGAATTTGAAGCTTTAAGCAATACTAAAACACAATATTTTTACTTCTATATGACAAAAGAACAGCTTTATTAAAATACAGCTTAAATAAAATGCTTCTTAATTTAAAATAATTGGGCATATTTCTATTTTATTAAAATTGGGGTATAAATTAAGTAGTATAATAATAGTAACAATAATCATTTTATTTAATTTTAACTGTGTAATAAAATCTTACATGTGACTAAAACAAAAACTGCACGTAAAAAGAAAAAAATTCACAAATTACATTAAGAGTTTCATCAAAAAAGAGAATTATATTTGTTATTTTACAACAAACATAAGTTTATTTGTTAGTAAAACACCTCATATCTTCATACTTTTATATTTTATTGATGTATTTAGAGTGTATAAGTGTACCTAAATGCCCATGTACACTCACCTTTATCTTATAAATAACAAAACAATAAGCTTAACATGTAACTCAAAGAGTAATACAATAAAATCTTCATATTTTTCAGTTGTTTCTTTTAAGTTAAATCCACTAAAAGTATTTAATCCCACAGAAAAAGGGAGTGTTACACTCATATTATAGACAAGTAAAAGTAAAACCAAGGCACAAGCAATATAGCCTGAGACAAGAAAGTATAGCCTAGTAAGAGAGGTATATGAAAGTAGGACTAACAAAATAGTGACAATACACTATCAGATTAGGCCTTACTGGCATGAATCATAATGGCATAAAACTAACATTAATGTTAACGGGTGTTCCACTCACAAAATCCTACATCTAAATTAGTATTCAGTGTCTATAGCTAGCCTGGAAAGATAGTTGCTCTTAATGAAACATGATGATGATACAGGAGTAAAAGATTGTTTAAATACAAAACCCAAGCCAAAAAGAAGTGATCCACACAGGACAAATAAATGAAAAACAGGCACAAGCTACGTTAGGAGTAGTTTCTTTTTCTACTAAAGTATGCAGGCAGTGAATGATACCTTATATGAGTTGGCTGGAATTCTTACATCTGTTCTTAATTTTCATATTGGATTTCATCAGAGAAACTTGCGAATATAAAGTAAATCTGATTGATGGTGATCTCCAACTTTCTGTGTGTTTCATTTTCACAGATACTTCTCCAGGCAGAACACAATTTCATGTTCCTATTATGTTCCTTGTGACACCCTCCCCTCTTTTATTTTCTGTTATATATGTTTAATTCTTCTGTATTTTTGACATTTTTGACCTAGTGGGTGCATTTAACTTTTTTAATACATATCTAACAAAAGTTGCAATTAAATGTTAATAATTACAAGTTTCTTGAAATATCCATGCTACACACTTTGAATAAAGAAGAACCATAATTCTCAAATACTAGTAAGTCTGTTGTTGTTGTGTAGAAAAAATAAGACATTAAAATAACAAGTAAAAAATTATGAAAAAGTAACAGAGCAAACACTGGAAAAATCTGCAAATAAAATTTCAAAGATCAAGACACAAAAAAAATTTCAAACAAACCATAATTACTTTCATAATGTATTTTCAGAACTAGTTTGTGTTGTTAGACTGGCAATATTATAAACTATAAATTATGAAACACTAAAAACTGATTACACGTGTTAGTCAGTAAAGAATGGGTAGTAGAAATGTTGTGTGTAGTTTATTTTGATGGAACAAATCAAAACTGTATCATACCTTTAAAATCAACTTTTCAAAGTATACATACGCCTGTGCCACAGTGAGTAGATCAATCCCACACTAATGAAATAAAAGTAGTCATAAACTTTAACAAAAGAAAACAAAACATTTTAACATGGTCTGAAAAATAGCAGCCATTGTTCAAATATAAATATAAAAAACTTAATTTATTAAACTGTACTGTATTTAATTATTTCAACACTGAATTATTTCATAAATGCATAAATAATATACTATAATGCTGACAAATGTAAACTTGAACCTGTAATTTAAAAGATGGTATTCCAAAAACTTTTAATTTTCTACATAAGCATGAAAAACAAACCTTGAGATGACATGTATATCTTTATAAAACCTTGATATATCATAATAAATTCTGAAAAAACTCATACCAACATGTTTTTCGTACCAAGTTCATAATGTAATTGTCACTTAAAATTTTATTCATCCTGTGTTAAGGTCATCACAGATGAACTGAATACACACTAAGGAGAATGGTATAAAATCCATGAAACAAATAATTTATTAATGAACATGTGCAATATTTTGCATAATCATACTAATAGCTAAGCATTGACAGAATACAGATGAATAGAATATAAATGAATAAAATGTAAGACTTTAATTAAAAGTGAAAAAAAAAGGAAAACACTGATAGTAATGAAATCCACACATCAAAATACTGAATAAAACATGCACTCATATTATCCACTATAATTATTCACATTACGTCAATAACTTCTACAGCAGAATTACTTCAAATCAACAGTTTTTGGGAAGTTAATTTTGTGATGAATATCTTCATAACAATGGCAATCTTTTTTTTCTTTTTCTACTACAGAAGCAGGATTCTCTGTTTACGATTATTACTTGACAACTAGTTAAACTGAAACGGAGTGGTTTTTTCAGCGTCACTTCAAGTGGGCATTCTGTTGTTTCTATATTCACATGTGACTTTATAAATTATGCCATATTGTTAATAACAGGAAAATGTCAGTGAAGATCAAAGTACCATTTAGTTTGGTTGAATATTGATGATGATGTAACTTTTAATTATCACAAATAATTTATCAATGTTGACATTTTAATTCTGAGATATTTTCTTTTTAAATTTCTGTTGGATGTACTAAAGATTTTCAATATTTTTCTTGAGTAGTTATTTTATTGAAATACAGTTTATAATGTTTTTATTTCTATGTTCAAATGTTTACCACACAACAATTTTAATGTACTCAAGACATTTTAAGGATACAGTGTTGATAACAGGTGCATGAGAAAACCAGTACTAAACTAAATATCTGTATTCACAAGTGCATGAGAACACTGACAGACCAAATATCAGTATTTACAGGTGGATGAGAACACTGATAGACCAAATATCTGTATGTACAAATGCATGAGAACACTGACAGACCAAATAACAGTATTTACAGGTGGATGAGAACACTGACAGACCAAATATCAGTATTTACAGGTGGATGAGAACACTGACAGACCAAATATCAGTATTTACAGGTGGATGAGAACACTGACAGACCAAATATCAGTATTTACAGGTGGATGAGAACACTGATAGACAAAATATCTGTATGTACAAGTGCATGAGAACACCAGCAGTACACCATATGTCTGTACATACAGGTGCATGAGAACACCAAATACGTGGATGTACAAGTGCACGGGAATACTAATATACCAAATATCTGTATATGAAAGTGCATGAGAACACCAGTACTACACCAAATATCTGTATGTACATAAGAACACAAATACACCAAACAGCTATTATTGGATGTACATAAGAATGTGTGTGAGAACTCCAATATACCAACTCACATTCATAGTTTTGTGTCTTACAACTGTCTAGATGCTGATTTCTTTCCTGGATGTTGTTGTTTTAATTCATGTAGAAGGTGTTTCTTGTTCTTATACAGAGGTATCTTCCATATAGCATTGCTATAAATAAGATTGTACTAGTACTTATTCTTCAAATTTTCTTTCACATAGTTCACTCCTTTAGGAAGAGATTTTGTTACATTCCATTGAAATAAGCTTCAGTTTTAACACATTGTAAGCTTTCTTGTAAGGAATTCACCAACAGGCTCTTTGCTATTAGATGTGTCATTAAGCTGTATTTTTCGAATGACACTGCTGATAACCTACTGAAAATGACAAGCCAGTGAGACTCGTATTTTTAAGAAGTAAACCTGAGATTTTCTATGTCCAGTACAGTTAGCCCTCTTAGTTGGTATAGTGACTTAGTTTGTTATTTGGAAAGATAACGTATAAAGATGTAAATGAAATATTCAATCAAGATTGGTGTACATGTAATGGTGAGCTGGATTTTTGAAAACCCCTAGACAAAAAGCTATGACGTTTAACATACATCACTCTTGAAATTATTCAGATCTTTTGAGATGGCTTAGTTGTTTATTTATATATATTCCTTGGGTGTTAGATCAACTTATGATTAATAAGATAAAAATATTGAATAAAATGTGCTACAAAAGAAGAAAAAGTGAGAAAGATTGCAATCTCCAAATAAGGTAAAAATCTGACATTTAGCTAGTAATTCAGCAAACAAAAAATACAATATATGAAGGAAAATACCTTAAGTTAACCAACAGGCACTATCTAATCACAGGTTTTTATATTTTGTTCAAGAGTTGCAAGTTTGCCGTGCCTATTAACCAGCCAAAAAGCACTAAATTAAAAGTATATAATCATAATTATATAAAAAAAAGAAATCATAAAATAAAGAATAGTAAGTATAAACTTCATGCAGACCAGACATAAAATTTTCACTACAGATGTAGAAGCATGGTCAGACATATGACATGTACTGTTATATCAAAATTCACAGGCATAATTAATAATGAAATCTAAACATTGTAAATCATCACTACCTTTACATAATAGTGTTTTTATGCCTTAAAACCCTTGGAGAGTTAGAGAAAAAAGGATACTAATAGGTTTTACTTTGATTTAAATAATAATGGCATTTCGAAATTTATCAGAAACGTAAATTTTAGCACCACAATAATAATTTTATGATGAAGAGCAGATTCATGAAGGTATAACTTTTAATAAAAAAAATGCTTATAAATCTTTTGATTACATTTTTAGAAATCTCTTACAGAAGCTGAAAAACATCAATAATATTGTATTGTAGCTCCATCTACTGGGTTGAAAAGATATTTAAATTGTTTTTGACAAATACAGTCACTCTTGTTTGTTATGTAATATGATATTATCCCTTATTTAATCAATAACCGTTTTTGTATTTTTCCAAATATTGAAAGAGCTTGTTGTTATTATGATGATAAATGTATAAATAAATATAAAATATAAAAATTTAACATAAAATCCCAACTCAACTCGGATTTGAATTCTAGACTTCCACATGAGTTGAGCATTATAACCACTGTGACACCCAGTCTTTGCGAATTAATGTTCACATATAATTCAAATCCCTAATGTAAACTATCATATAATTGTTTTTTTCTAATATTGTAATATATTGCTCTAAATGTGGTGAGTTAATAAAAAGAAAAAAAAGATACAACAAAATCCCCAACAGAGAGTCAATCATTACTGACAAAGGGAGCACTATGAACAGAGATCGAGTGGCTTTTATATATACAGATTATCATTTCTGTCAGGCTGTTACAGTCACTATCCTTCTGTTTCTAAAATCTATTAATGCATTATTTCACTTAAATATGCTATTTCTCTCCAAACTTAATAATTGTACAGGTATTGTTATTTGGAACATGAGAGTAAAGTATGATATAAATGCATAAAATAAGAAGGTTTTTACAGTGTAAAATATTTTATGATAAACTTTTAAAACACAAGCAAACAGCTTTTATATAAATACTACAGGATCACTTCTAGCAAGCAGCATGACAGAAGACATACATACTAATGATATTGTGCCCCAGAATATTGTGTAGCAGTAACATTAGCTGAGAAATATCCTAAAAGAAATGATAAAAACAACATGGAAGGTATAAGAAGCACAATCAAAATATTTTTAAAACAAATATCATCTCAAAGCACAGGTTGAAGTATTTCATGTGTTATTGTCTTTGAATATGTAACCACTAGCTATAAGAACATGTTCTAACCCATATTAACATATGAACAGCATTATACTTATAATGGTAAATCTGCTTTCACAGATAAGCATATATTCCAGAAGAATATGATCTTGAAACTTATTTCATGCAACTATGAAAAGTAAGATAACAAAATAAGACATATAACAGTGTAATTATTATAGAAAGATATCTAATCATGCAGACCCAAATAAGCATCATGCATGGTGGAAAATTTCTTCTGCATGATTTTTTCGGTCATCTTTAATGAAAAATACAACATTTGACTTATACAATAATTAAATTTTAAATCTGAATTTTTTCACCCTGTACTATTATTCTGCCCTGCACTGTTATTTGGAACACAAGAGAAGTTTATCACAAATCAAAACTTGTCATAATTCAAATGTACCCAAGAAATAAACTACCACTTATTTCGATTTTCATTAGTTCCCAAGCTAAATGAAAAATTCAGACCTTACTTTCAACTGATAAAAATCCTTTTCTTGGGTAACATAACATTATGCATAACAGGTGTTCCTCCAACTGCATAAAAGTCACACTCTGAATGTTTATGCTACAGTATTATGTATTAAACATTTCCCCTTTTACAGTTACTAAATATGATTTATACAACTAAGATTTTTAGTAGATCTATAACTTTTAGGCTCCTAAAAATAATTACCACATCATTAATTTTTATCCGTTACTGTTTCAAATATTTTAAGTAACAAATATAACTGTAATAAATTATATATATATATATATATATGTATGTGATAGATACAGATTTACTTTATTAAGTTTATTTTTCTTCACTTCTACCTTTGCCTCAAACTGCTTCTCAAAGATTTCAGACATGCTGAATATATGACTTAGAACAGATAAGAAAATTATTTAAATACAAAAAAACAATTATATAGATAAACTTATTACAATTAGTTTAACAGCAAATGTATTTAGGCAAGCTCAACTAATAAAATGTACACACATCTGACTAAAATCCGTATAATTGAGAAACAATAATAGAGTTGGCTAGCTGCTGAAAATGCTAAAATAGAAATGTAGAAATGCTAAGTAATTACAAGATGAAAAAAAACTTTGTTGTTAAATAAAGAAATTTTCTAATTTTACTACAGATACAATACTAAGAAGTTATACTTAAGTCTTTTGTAAATCTGGAAAAAAAAATCTCCCACTATCTCTCTCTCTATACATATATAAATACACACACACACACACACACAGTGTATATGAAATAAAGATAAAACATAAGTCATACCTCTTGTTGAGCTATCTTGCACATTTCTCTTTTCAGGCTACAAAATGACAAAAAATAAGCTGATTAATTCATCTTCAGAAAAACAAAACTATATGTAGAATGAACGTAATTAACTCACAGACAAGTTAAGCTTCTCCTGCCACTCACCTTCTAAGTTTGCTTAAAGTCAATTGAATATATGGAAAGCGTTCACGGAACTTTTCATTTAGCTCCTTCTTCAGGTCAGATGGCTTAACATAATCAATCACAGATGTCTGGAAAGGATTAAACTTGCTTGGATTAAGAAAAAACTACTATTAAGCCAATTGTTAACACAGCTAGAAATCTTCCTTATACACCATTTAGATCCATTAAGTAAGGACTATGTAATACTGTGTGTGGGTGTGTGTTGTAAAAAAAAAAGGGATATGGATAGCATCAAAGGATGAAGTTCATATAGTTGAATAATATATGAAAAAATCTGTGGTATGACACTATAATCTACCTTTACTTAAACCTGAAACTTTTAGAAGCATGGAACACCTTGCTAAAATTAACCAATCTTCTATTGATAATGTTTGGAGTGGTCTTAGCTATATGAACTTTTGACTGTTGTATAGTGATTTTCATTATTATATGATGAAGGTACTCTGACCACAAACTAAATTATCAACCATCCATGAGGTCAAAAGGCAGGATTAGAATAACAACTAGATAAATGACATGCTGTAAAAGCTACAAAGAACTTAATTATTATATTTAAATTAAACAAGAAATTTCTTGATTAAATAAGTTTATTTTTCATAATAACCCATTAACTGCTGCATGAGCAGCTCAGTAGCCATTTTCTAACTCACAGATAAAACTGAGTTGCCATCAGTCACAATAAAATGGTAATTATCGTCATTTGCATTGAGTTAGTTATATATGTATGTGAGACTGACGGATATTTCCTTCATTCGCAGCTAAGCTATAAAACTTCAATGACGGAAATATCCGTCATCTGCAGTTAATGGGTTAAATCCAGAAAAACTGTGAACACATTTTTTCATACGTTATTATGAAAGGCTACATAATTTTCTATTATTTTATTGGAAGTTTAGAAAAAAGAAAACGTTAAATTATTAAGTTATCTTTCTTAAATTGACTATGAACTAAGCCTATTTCTTATTACAAAGATTTACAGTACCAAACTATTGCATAAAAACAAATATATGATTAACACTACTAGATTCTTTTCATACACAATTTTTGCAATGTTGATTCTATTCTCTTAAAGCAACGCTAGTTTCCAAGCCAGATTATAATTTTTTTTAAACTTGATTTCTGTTACAAAACAAAGTAAGAATAAGACCATGCATAACAGTAGATATACAAGTTTCTAAGTTTACTAATGAAGGCTGGTGACAACTTTAAATAGCCTTATGACATTCAGTTTTACCTTTCTAATAGCATTTCAAACTTTATCAATTAAAATATACAAACTGAATCTGAACAAGTATAAGTGGCAAAACTTACAATGTGTGAAGAAAATGTCAACACAGTACTGTGTTTTCCAGTATTCAGTTCTGGATCATCCAGAAGGTTAGGATTATAAGCTATCTCAGATAAAGTAGGGTGATAACCTAGACTCAGGCTATCTTCCAGGTCAGAACCTGTTTAAAAAATAAAAATATACTTAGGGTAAAACAACAAAACCATAAAGCAGGGGTATAAAATTTAAGAAAAACTTTCTTGTGCCAGAAACAAAATGCACAAGAAAAATCTACTTGTCCTAACCTAACCCATCTCGCACAAGAAAAAGTAGAATATATTTTCTGTGATGTTGCTTTTATTTAACAATGAATAATGAAAAAAATGTGGGATTCACACCCTGAAAAAGTGCCGTAAATTCACTCACAACTGAATTGTTTGCACAATTTCTATAAACTTAAATCTATAATGTTTATTTATCAAAACTATATTAAATGTATTATTTTGCAGACATGACACTAAAGTACTCTAAGCAAATACAGTGTTTCTTAAAAGTTAGTAAAATGAAAATATGTTTTTTAAAACAAAGTCTGATTCATAAAATGCAAAATAGTGAACAATGGGTATTTTTTTTTGCCTGTTATGAGCATTTATAATCCTATTTGAATTATTAAACATAAATTATACATATATATATATATATATATATTAAGAGCTTAAACTCAAAATGCTGTATATCCAATTTTGCCACTTAGGGAACAACTGGTTAAAGTTATTGAAAATAAAATTAATATAAAACATTTATTGATTTTGCTGCCCTAGGAAGTTTCCCACCTCTAAAGCCAGGCTTGACTGTAGATGTTATGCTGATAATATGTTTTTCATTGTCCAGTTGAGTTCTGAATAATTTGATTTATAAACCTTTTTGAAGCTACAGTTTGCTACATTAATAAACAGAAAAAAAAAGAGAAATGAAAATTTACCAAAATATTTTAAAAATTTCATACTGATTGCATTGGGAAACATAACTGAATGTCTTTATAACATTGCCACTTCCCAACTCCTGAAGTTCACCATTATTAGTTTACTTAAGCAGCTTAAATATTCTTTTTTCTTCAAAACTATTGCATACATGTTAATCATTTTCAAGTTTAATTACTTGTACTTGGGATGCAAAAAATGTATGTTGGATCTACCAGTAAAGAAAATAAAAAACTTATTTTTTTATAATTACAATAAAGCTAAGAATGCTGTATAGTTATGAGTTACTGTAAAGACTACTAACTTGAAACAAACTCTGCTTATTCTTTCTTTTAAAATTGTAATCTTGTTAGACTATTTAAATGTTTTAGCTTACATTTCATCACATTCCAGACCTACAATTTTTAAACTATAGAAATTGTGACACATCATCCTATGCTAGATTTTTCATTATTTCAGAAACATTCTAACCACATGGCTACTCTTTTAATATCTGACTGGACACATTATAAATATTTACGTAAGACTATAAATATCTCAAGGAAGAGTGGGTACACTAAATCTAAATTTTAACCCAATTAACTTGGAAAATAAACATCCAACCATTCATGTAAATAGGTCATCAGCATCTTTTGTTTCTTTGTTATTAAGCACAAAGCTACACAAAAGGCTAACTGTGCTGTGCCCGCTGTGAGTATCAAAACCTGATTTTGAACATTATAAGCTTTCAAAATTCTTGTTGAGCAATCAGAGGGCTCATCAGCACTCGCTATTAAGATAACCTTTTTTATGCAATTATTTATATTAAACAGATAATATCTAAACACAATTTTGCCAAAAAACAGTAAAGTTATTGTTCCTGAATTAGTTTTTCAAAGTATGTTTTATGTTTTACACTGTAAGCTCTTAGTGAATAATCCATTGGGTCCAAAATAAGATAAAAATAATCAAACATTTTCATTACTGAGGTAATTATTTAGGAAATTCTAGTTGATTAGCTCAAAAAAATCTTAAAGAGTTGTCTATGCAAGACTAATATATTCTGTATTGTTACAGATATTACTTATTTGTTAAAGTTACAATTTTTTCTACTGAAAATATACTTACCTCCTTTCACATTTATATAGATACTTGTTCAGTGCTGCCCTCTATATGCAAAATATTTTCACATGCCACAAGTCTTGCACTAATCTATGATTATTGTGGTTCCACTGTGTATAGCATGCAAATCATCATGTAACAATCCTCCACCAATAGGAGTGAGACACAACCTTCTGATGCATGGGCTCTCTCTATTCAATTCTATTGAACTAATACTTCAAGTTTAGGCAAGAAAGGAAGCACCGGTTTTCAGTGGAGAAGGAAGGGTGGGAAGTGTGAAAGGAGGTAAGTACTTATCGGAAATATGTTTTCAGTTTAGGAAAATTATAACTTCCAGTATGGTACATGGTAGTGTTAAGCTAGAATCCCACATTGAATAGGTGTAGGGACCAGTGCGAGGGATATAAAGAAGCACCCTTTGAGAGTGTCTGAAGAATACCCTATACTTCGTGATAAAGAATCATCCTTGGGAGACAGCACCACTTCTGTACCTGGCATACTTTTTGCCTAGTGTGTAAAGAGGCGTTGCAGATGCAGGTGGAAAAAAGGAGCAAAACCAAAAGAGAGAGAAAATGGTGGGATTGGAATACAAACCTCCAAAATAATAATCTCAATCCTGATGAAGAGGTTGTTGATGAATCCTCTACAGACAGTAATGTGGGGGAAAGCAAAACTGGATATGGTCCAAGGTGTAGAGTGGGTAGGGTGCGGCAGACTGTAAACAGTCAGTTCACTGCAGTCCAAAAGCAAACAGTATTGAGAATATAACCTCCCATCAGTGGTAGGAGGAGGATCCACACCATCTTCACCTCAAGTTCTGTAGAATGTAAGTACATACTGAGCAAGCCGATCTGCAAAACGGGCACCTGCACACAATCCACAATTAACCAGATGTCCAGGAACCTGACATCTGAATGACAGTAGCAACATGCAACACATGTGTGAGGACTTATGTTGATTGGTCCTGCTCGAAATCTAAAACTAGTCACTAGGAACAGACATCCATGTGATGATAGGATGAGAGATCCTAAATGAAGGGGTGAACTGCAACATGGCAGATCAACTCCTATGATAGGACCGTACAGCATTAGAGCACATCATGAACTTCCGGATACCACTGCACGGAAGTGGATTGCCCCTAAAATCATATGCAACTGCACCCTCCAGATAGTCACAGAAGCCTGGTGCAACATCAACCCTCAGAGCCCACCGTAGATAGAGCATTTTTATTATTAGTGTACATGTGCTACCTCATACCCTCGAACACGATCATACAGTATTGGAGCACATTGCTAACTTCCAATTACCATGCCCAGTAATGGATTGCCCCTATAAATGATATGCAACCTTGCCCTCTAGACAGAGATGGTGCACATGAATAGAAGACCAGCATCATCTACACCAGTAGAATACCACCACCCTACTCTCAACTGAATGTAGTTGTATATTTAGTTATTTGCATAAGATCACCTTTATGGTCTACCACCCTAGTGGCTTGGAATTGGAAAGTGGCAAGGACTCCTATACTCCACTTGAAGAACAAGGGGAGATAAAATGTGGTAGAGAGTCCAGAGGAATGGCAACACTGGAGACAGTGCAATGGGTGACCATGAAAACCATATTTTTAAAAGCAGACCATCCCTGGTATATTCAATCTAATGGATGGGCAGCTATCCTCTTATGCTTTACTCATGTAAGTCCATGGTCTGGAATGGGCATAGTTATGTGACACATGTAGGATACGTGTATGTAATATTATCAAAATTAGGTAAGACCAAATGAAAGCCATTTTAAATTAATCATATTTATTACTTTCTTCTTGGACAAATATCTAATAACTTACAGTTTTCAAGTGGGACTGATTAAACATGATATTTTTATGTGCCATAATAATTTGATAAAATAAGTTAATACACTCAAGTCTAGACTATAAGAGGAACAAAATTAACATTTTGACTACCTTTTCCATCACAAAATCTTATAAGCCGGAAGTGTTTAATTTGAATTGTATAGTAACACTGAAATTACTCTTTGAATTCAACTGATCTACAAAACATGCATACAAAAGTAAAATCACACATTTAAATGTTAGATTATTTCAGTATTAGTAAGATCCAACCATACTTTCAATGTCAATGAAAAATTGCAACTAAATATACTTTTTTCTGAAGTAACTCCTGGAGTTATAGATGAAAGGAGTGGATGAGGCTGTTGACGAAAACTCAGGTACAAGGCAGGATCATTAGAATAATATCTTTTTACATACAGTTGAAAGCTAGGATGTCCACCATAATCAGCCTCTTGTAACTTATACTGACGTTGTGAGTAACAGTAAGATGGCATCAGTAGCTGACTAAATGAGATATCCTGCAAAGGTTCAGATGAATACAAATTATGCAATATATGTTTACTGAAATATGATAAGTTTCTGTCCAATTAAATAAAATTATAAATAATTCAAAGTACATACAATGAGTAAAAAAAAACAAACTTAAAGCATAATGTAATTGAACCTAGATGGAAAATCACTGCAAAAACTGCAACATAATGACGTGTTTACTATACATAACAAACACTGTAAATACACAACAAATTACTAAATTACTCTGTAATCTTTCTATAATCCAAAACTGCAGTAATACCCCAATTCTTTATACTAACTGGGGCTACTGGTAATTTAGAAGAGTTAAAGTTTGCATAACTGAATACTAGTACAGTATTACCTTTATACTGAAACCAATAGTTAGATTAAAGTTAACATTTTTCTAAATTGAAAATGTATTTCCAATAATACTTACCTCCACTGACACTTATCACTATTACTCAACTGCCATGGTTTCTTCTTTGCCCATCTAAGCATTGGTCTGATTTTTTGTTGCTTGCTCCAGTCTTTTATATCACACTCAATTGGCCTTGGCAATATTTGTCTTATGATACTTTCCACCTACATCAATGTGCCCTTTATCCTGGTACTGTGTATAAGCACCTCATTCAGATACTTTTATCACTTTTTCGAAACTGATACCATCCAAGTCTCTAACACCAGCTCTTGGTGGGGAGGAAGGGCAGAAGAGTGTGCAAGGAGATAAATACAATTAGAAATATATTTTTAATTTAGGAAAATGCTAACTTGCAAAACATACTTACCTCTGCTGTCACTTATAGCTAGAATCTCACATTGAGAAGGTGGAGGGGCCAGTGAGGGCATTATCCATACAGAAAGTGTCTGCCTAGGTCATGGGAGAACTGCACTCACTACATCCAGAACAAGTATGCTCTTCACTCTTAACTTAGTTTCTGTACCAAGGGTGGAATTGTACAAGAGTAACCATCACAATAGGCCAACCCCAACCAGACAGCTGAGTTTCCACTACTTGGGGTTGGAATTAAGGGGTCTTGGTCCCTATATCCCACGTTGGTGGCTAGGGCAATTGGACCATAATGTTGTATACAGATATACTTTTGATTGGATCCCAACCTGTACCATAGAATGATGGATTCTGAACCATGGGAATCACGATGAGTTGGTAAGCAACAACTAAGTGGACAAACCTTCTCCTCCACCTGAAGAAACCCAAAAGGCAACACCCCAGGCTTGGACTGATGGGATTGTGTATGCCTTACTCAACCAAAGAAACAGAACTCATCTGGTCTGGAATTAGGAAAGTTCATCCCTCACTCCCAAACCAAGTGGGCAAGGAGCTTTCTGCTTGCTCCCAGAATTATGGGGAGGTCGTAGAACAACTGTGCTCATCCAAGGACCCAAGATGGGACCACTCCATGTTCAGAATTATGATGCTTTAGTGGACCTCCTTTCATGAACAATATACAGAATTCATATCTGGGAAAACCATCCAGGGACCCAGGTAGGAGGACCCCCAACTTTGCCCTCTTCTCCAAAATTCACTCTAACACTGTGGAGGAAAAACCTCTGTCCACCACCTAAGTTACTGAAAATTAGGTGTGGTAAGGACTCCCTAGCTCCACTAGTAGAATCTGAGGGGTAATGCACATTGGAGAAAGTGTTCTGGAAAAAGTGCAATAGGCGAATCAAGTTCCTAAATTTCTAAAAGCAAACTGACCGTGATTTATTCAATTCAATGATCGGCAGGGACTGGCAGGATCCTTTTTAGCTATACTCATGATAGTCCATGAGTAGTGGTCCAGCATAGTGTAGTAATACCACCTGGTGAGCTCATAGGTGGTCTTATAGAACACCACATTTCTACAGAGCCTGTTGCAACCAGTAGTAATTACAGTGAAACAGTGGTTGCTAGTGCAGAATTGGTTTGATAAAGCACACCTGTCTGGGCAACACTTGCCAAAGAGTGGGATCCTGTGAAAGCAAGGTAAGGGACCCTGAAAGGTAGAAATAAAAATACTCACCCCTCTGGATAATCTAGCAGAAATAGTTAAAGTTTGTCCAATTAAAAAAAATAATATTTCTCAAATAAAAATATATCAAGGAATAACAACGCATATTTCATTAAGCTTAAGCCATAAAGAGAACAAACAAACCTGGCCATCCTCTGGTTTTCCAAAGCCCATCATAAAAAGTAAATCTATTTGTTCAGGATTGTCATTAATAACTGACAGTTGACGATTTCCTGATATTTGTCTTCTTCTACCACCATCCTGTTTGGCTTCTCCTCTTCACAAATAAATAACAAAATAATTACTATATTCACACTTATTTCTTTAACTATCACATCAAGTTAAAACTATTTCTCTTTTATAGCCTGGGTGTATTCAAATGATGTAACATTACACAAACTAACCTGCTCTAATGTACAGATTAAAAAGCATGTAAAGTTAAACTTACTGTCCAATTCTTTGCTATGTGTTATTATTCTAAGATGCTATATAAACTGTAATGGAGGTCACATGTCTAACATTTTCTGAAAAAGTAAATATTTTTTACTTGTGGATGGATTCAAACTATTTTTTGTTCATAATAATATGGTAATAAATAACAATATTTCATCAACTGTACCAGAGTTCTCAATCATATTGGCCTGAAATTCCCCTCCCCTGCATTTTATGTATGTATATAAAATAAAACAAAAACATACATTTATATACATACATATTTACAGTATATAACCCACACTAAAATCATCTAACCTCACAGGGACCCATGTCTGGTTGACTTTTTCTTGTTTGGTACACCTAATGATGTGTATCCCTCCCCTCCAGGTTGGGAACAACTGAACTATATCATAGAGGCCACTTATAATAATTGAGAAACCATATGAGTACCACTTGGTTAATCTGTCTTTCTGTTCTAAGTCAAAAAATCAAAATTAAATTATAGGGTGAGGATGTTCTTTTATTGCATTTAATGGTTTATGTTATGAACATTTATAATTGCACCCATCTGTAGTTCTGTAAAATTAACTAGTAGTAAATGCTTTTAGTAGTTTTTTACATCCTAAAATTTTTGCTTTGTTTTGGGTTTTGATCCTCAGAATAAATCACTTATTGAAATTTTAATCAACAGACATATTCTTCAAATGGTACTGACTTTTAAAACAACTGAACAACTTTTCTTGCTCACTCATAAGGAACTTTTTCATTTAGAATTCTTTGAAACTGTAAATTTTTCATGAAAAATATTTCTTGTATTTTAAAGTTTCATCATACAAAATTCATATCAGGATCATATAAAGAAATACAACTCCAGTTCTTGAAAGAAGAAATTACTTATAAATATAAGTCCCTAATTTTTTTAATTTGCCACTAAAGAAATCTTTATTAGCTTTTAAGAATTCTAAGTCGTAATTTATTTACTTGAAGAATTTAATTGAGAAGAAATGTAATAGTTTTAATGCGATGTAGAATTAATAGGTTATGTGCATTAAACCATTCTCATTCCAAATAAAATAGAAAATCATTTATAAATAAACTTGATAATGCCACCTGCAGTCTTTATACTTATGAACTATCCTTTTGGATATATTTCTAAGACGCTATAGTTTGATACCTATTTGTCATATTTGAAATTTAGTTACGATGTTTAAAGGATTGAAGAGAGCTTTGATACAGTGAGAGTATGTTATTAGTTTAGCTTTGCCTCCTTTTTAAAACTAAAATTCAAGAAAGAAACCATATAACATATCTTAAGAAAAATACCAAGATCTTATTAAACTTGAAAGACAAACTGGCTTAGTTTTAACTAAATCAGATAAAGGAAACATGACAGTAATTCTGAATAAAGAAGATTACATTAAAATGGTCAACCATAAATGATAGTACAAAGTTCTTGAAGTTGAATAAAGATTTAATGTGTACAAGGGAAACAAAATTACAAGATATTTATTGTAGTTAATAAAAGATGAAATTATAAACAAGAATTTGTACAAAGAGATTAGAACAGTTGGTTCTCATTGAGAAATATTGTATGGTTTGTCTGAAATTTATAAATTTAATGTTCCTGTTAGACCAACAGTTTCAGATATTGGCACCTACAATTATAAACTGTTGGGCTTTTTGGTGAATTTTCTTTGTAACTATCCAAGTAACAAGTTTACCATCAAAGATAACTTTGAGTTTTTGCAGAATTTTAAATTTTATCAAAAAGTGTACACAGTCAGCTTTCGTCTCACTAAACATTCTATTTCAATAGACAATCAATCTTTGTTCAGAACTGGTTTTTCCTCTCTACATATATAGTGAATGGACTGTCTAAGCTAATGTCATTTGTAGCTAGAGAATTATATTTTGTGTTTAATGGAACAGTTTATGATCAGTATTTAAAGTGTTCTGGAAAATTGCCATTATGTGTGAATTATGGTAAAATTAATGCTAACCTAAGGCCAAACACACTTGTACTATAGTTGCAGACACACTAAAACCAAAGATATGTTCAAAACCAGAGGTTGTGGGTAGGTGTTGTGCAGCTGTATAACTTTTGTTGTTGGTATGTCATACCACTATATTTTTTTCCTTACTGCTATGAATGCTAGTGAATACCACCCCACTTTAAATACTGTTTATGATTAGGTTGATGTTATTAATATGGTACCTACACTTTAACCTGGTATGGCTAACCTATATTTTAGTCTTTATAAAAACAGTGGCTAAAAGAGTATCCTACAGAAAATAAACTGCTTCATCATAGAAGATATGTTCATCATACATTTACTAATTTTCAAACACACAGTCATGTTTCAAAATTTTGACCATCCCATCTCCTTTCTACCTGGGATCAGGGCCAACCTTGACTGGTGGCTCGACAGGGACTTAACCATGGTGGAGGTTCACATTCATCTGTCTCATACCAAGTCTCATCTGTTTACATATGCTTCCTTGGTGGGCTTTTCTTGATTCTCCATATATTTCAGATCGGTAGTCAGTCAAGGAAGCTACTCTCCATTTCCACATCCTGGAACCTTTTGCAGTTCATCAGGCTCTGTATCATTTCCTCACAATCCTGCAGGGGTGGGTGGTTGTGGTATATTTTGACAATTTCACTGTCATCAGTTATATCACCAAGCAAGGGGGAACCAAGTCCAGATCTCTGTGTTTTCAGACTCTGGATCTCCTGCACCACACCACCGACCACAGCATGACTATTCTGGTACTTGTCGTGTCCCAACCAGGTTCTCCCCACAGAGTTGTCCCTTCATCCTACAGTTTTTCTGTGGGTGTGTTCTCAATAGGGAACTCTGCATATATATGCATTTTTTGCTCACTGGAATGCCAAACTTCCTTCCTTTTTTGTTTTCCAGTTCCTCACCCCTCAGCTCTGATAGGGGGTGCTTTCATTCCAGAATGTAGGGGTCTTCACCTATATGCCTATCCTCTGATCAGACTCTTTGCCTGGGTATTTTCCATTATCTAGTCACTCCTTGTTGTTTTCTGCTGGTTGCTCCATATTGGTCAGCTCAGACATGGTTCCCTCTGCTTTGGCCCTTATTGGAGCTACAGCCCTTACCCTCATCTCTCTCCTGATCGATCCTCTGACAACTGTGATTGGATGTTTTATCCCAACATCACCACACTTCAGCTTCTCATGTGACTTTTGTTGAGTCCTGTGCCTCAACTCTGGGACTCACCCCTCTTGCAGTGTCTTTCTTTGCCTGTACCATTGGCTCTTCCTCCTTGTCTATGTACCAGAAGCTTTGGTCTTACTTCAGACTTTGGTCTATTGGTCATGGCTTCCAACCATCCCATCCTCCTGTTCTTCACCTGTCCCAGTTCCTCATCTGGTTGTTTGTTTAGGATTTGTCTGTTTCAATTGTTGCTCCTTTTAGAGCTGCCCTGTTGAACACCTTCCTTTCTCCTACTTCCAGAATTCTTTCTCTTCCCAGGTTATTTCCCTCCTTTTCTGATCCTTTTGTATAGTCCATCCTCCATTCTCCTTTGTTCTGTCAGTTTGGGATCTCAATGTTGTCCTTCATGCTCTGTCCAGCTCTCCCTTTGAACCCTTTGCAATGTGTTCCTTGTACCATTTTCTCCTTAAGACCCATTTCCTCCCCTTTCTGACATGTGGTCATTGCCATTCTGATATTTATGCCATTCCTTGTATTTTATCTACTAACCAGATCAGGCCTTCCTTTCCAGGACATTGGCTGCCTGGGAAGGTTGTTGGGCCTCATCTCCTATTTCCTTACCCTCTTTGTCCCACCTGCTCTCCCAATCAGATCTGGATTACTTTGTTCAGTTCATTACCTGCTACATTATATGGCTTGTACTGCCTTCTTATGTGGTTCTCATTTCTGTCTCTTTGTTCCATGGAATTCCTCTGTCTCCCATGATCTTTTCACCTATTATGCTCACTGGTTGGGTTTGTCAACTCATATGACTGGCATATTCTGACATGCCCATGGACAGTCGCTGTCTACTTCTTTTTTCTTCACACCAAATTTGTCATCAATCTATATTTTTAGCTGCTCACAACTTCCATCTTTTAGAGGAGATCATTCAGGCTGGCATGTGGACAATTCCCAATACGTTTGTCACTCTTTATCTGCACAACATAGCTGTGTCTTCCTCGAGCAGGTATCGCCTTCCTCCTTTGGTGATTCTACACACATCTGTTCGCCTTTGCCTGATGTAAGTTGACATATTATTCTTTTTTTACTTTAATTTGTTGATATAAATCATATTTCAGGATCCCAGCTAGTGGCGGGTGTTACCTGGTCAGGTATGACGAATATTATATCTTGGCAATAAATCTGTATACTTCCATAATGCTCACTGTGGAGATGGGGTTTTACTGTAAGACCACCAGATGCTTATCCAGCGTGTAGATATATATTTTTTCTTATCACTGTATCATATATAACGGACCGTTAATCATGGACTTCACGAGCAAAGCAGATGGAGATTTTTGCCCATCCCTACTGATCCGTGATTCTTACAATCAGGGACTTCATGCTTTTCAAAATATGGAATTGCAGACACCTATTTCATTGTCTCTGTGTGTCATTCCTCTGAACCCTCTGATGTGTATCCCCCCCCCTTCTTCTAGTGGAGCAAAGAAGTCTTTCCCACTTCTGGTTCCCAGTTGCTGGAGTGGTGGACCATAGAGGTTTCCTCTGGAGTGGGGTTTGTATGATAAAACAAACTTCATAGACATATGTACCCACTCTATGAGAAGAGGGCTATCGTTGTTATATTTCATATTATAAAATATCATAATATGCTCAATCCAAGTTGCTTCTCCTGGATGTTTTTGCTCGGGTTAACTGCACTTGTTGATCATGAAATACAAATTTGATTCCAGGAGCTTTCACTGGATGTTTTCTGCCCAGATGGACCACACTTGACACACTCCATAATTTCATACAGTATTTACCCCAGATGTTTTTGCCCGGGCTGACCACACTTGTTGATCACACAATCTGTTACATACAGTATATGAAACGAAAAATACTATGCAAGGTGCTTCCACTGGATGTTTTCTGCCCAGATGGACCGCACTTGACATAATCTGATGTATACCAAGGTGCTTCTACTGGATGTTTTCTACCCAGATGGGCCACACTTGACATAATCTGATGTGTACCAAGGTGCTTCCCCCAGATGCTTTGTCTGGTCTGACTACACTTGACTATCTTAATGTTAATCCAAGGTGCTTTCCCTGGATGTTTTTTGCACGGGCAAACTGCAATTGTTGATCTTACAATCTTATGCAAAGCACTTCCACTGTTGTTTTTTGACCAGATGGACCACACTTGGCATAATCTGACATATCCCAAGGTGCTTCCCCTGGATTTCTTTTGTCTGGGCAGACTGCACTTGGTCTGTTCATATACATTAACAATCCTTTTGCCCTCACCATGTACTCTTATATCTGATTCCATATACCTTCTTCAAAAATGACTACGATTGTGTCACATGCTCATGCTTGTTACATAGGTGTCCATCTTACATACTCTCTGTTGTACACAGGTGGAATCTATATTACATGACATGGTGCCTGTCTATTAAATTTCATCCTATGTGTCTAACTTTGTTCATTATTGGGCAAAGAGCATATTTATTCCAGAAGTAGTGCTATACACCACAGGTGTGTCTCATTTTATAACTTTGGCAAGAAAAAACTTGGAAGTTTAAAACATGATAAGACTCTTTGGCCAAATAATATTTCCTCAAGGGTTTTGAAGGAGGTTAAAGATTGAATATGTGATCAACTTGTTACTATTTTTTGTAAGTCCTTGAATAGTGGGCAGGTGCCAAAGGATTGGAAGTAAGCTAATGTCACTCCTCTTTTGAAGGGAGGTAATAAAAGTTATCCCAGTAATTGTAGGTCTATCAGTCTTACATCAGTTGTGGGAAAAGATTTGGAAGGTCTGATAAAAGATGCTTTGCAAATTCATTTAACAAAATTTAGAATTTTATTGGATAATCAATATGGTTTCATTAAGAGAAAATCTTGCCTTACAAATCTTTTAACATTCTTTGAAAAGGTTACTGCTTATGTAGATGAGGGTAAGGGTGTAAATTTGGTGTATCTGGATTTTCAGAAAGCATTTGACAAGGTTCCAATAAAAGACTTGTAAAAAATTATTTCTGTAGATGTGGGAGATGAGTTAGCTAATTGGATAGAAGAGTGGCTGGATGGATAAAGGCAGAGGGTTGTTATAAATGTAGTTCAGTCAAACTGGATTAATGTCGCAAATGAGGAACCTCAGGACTCAGTCTTAGGAGCTTTGTTCTATTTGATTTACATCAATGACATAGATGAAGGAATGGTCGATAAATTACTTAAATTTACTTATGATATTTAGGTATTGGGTGTTGCTAGCTGTGAAGAAGATCCTGCTATTTTACAAAAGGATTTAGTTCATTTAGTGAGTTGGCCAAATAAATGGCAGATGGTTTTTAATAATAATAAATCAAGATAATGTGTGTGGGTTATCATAATTTGAAGTATAAGTATAATTTAGATGGGAATAACCTTAACAGTGTCATGAAAGAAAGG